AGACATGAAAGGAAAGGACCAAAACGGATGTCAAAGAGACTTTGAGACTTGCTCTCCAATGTAGTGGTGCTAAAGCAAATGGAAGAAAGGAGGAGGCAAAAGAGCTGAACAGAGAATTTCAAAGGGCAGCTTGAGAAGACAAAGTCAAGTATTATAATGAAATATGCAAAGACCTGGAATTAGACAAGGGAAGAATAGGCTCAACAATTCTCAAGCTGAAAGAACTAAGCCTCAATTTTCAGTATTGAAGGATTCTGGTGTGGTGCTGTAGGATAAGCACTGTACCATGAATCACAAGGTTGGTAGTTCAAACCCACCAGCTTTTCCTTGGAAACCTTGTACAGGGTCGCTATGAGTTGGAATTGACTCCACATCATGTCACAATAGCAGCAACAATAGACAAAATATTGAATGATGCAGAAAGAATTAAAAAGATGGTGGAAAGGAATACAGAGTCTCTGTACCAAAAAGAAATGGTCCATGTTCAAAAGTTAGCATATGACCAAGAGCCAGTGGTACTGAAGGAAGAAATCCAAGGTGCACTGAAGGCATTGGCACAGAATAAGTCACCAGGAATTGATGGAATAAAAATTGAAATCTTTCAACAAACTGATATGGCCCTTGCGACACTCACTAATCTATGTCAAGAAATTTGTAAGACAGGTACCTGGCTGACTGATTGGAAGAGATCCATGTTTGTGTCCATTCCAAAGAGAGCAACTCAACAGAATGCAGAAATCATCAGATAGTATCACTAATGTTACATGCAAGGAATATTTTGGTAAAGATCTTTCAAAATCAGCTGCAACACTACATCAACAGGGAAATGCCAGAGATTCAAGCCAATGTAAGACAAGGACGTAGAACGAGGCACATCATTTCTGTCATCAGATGGATCTTGGCTGAAAGCAGAGAATAGCAGAAAGATGTTTACCTGTGATTTCTTGACTGTGGAAGGACTTTCAATTATGTGGATCGTGATAAAATATGGACAAGATTGCGAAGGATGGGTATTCTGGAGTACTTAATTGTGCTCATGAGGAACCTGTACATAGACCAAGAAGCAGCTGTTAGAACAGAATTAAGGGGACACTGAATGGTTTAAATTCAGGAAAGGTATGTGTCAGGGTTGTATTCTTTCACCATACTTACTCAGTCTGTATCCTGAGCAAGTAATCTGAGAAGCTTAATTATATGAAAAAGAATGTGACATCAGGTTTGAAGGAAAGCTCATTAACAAGCTGAGATAAGCAGATGACACATTCTTACTTGCTGAGTGAAGAGGACTCAAAATAATTACTGATGAAGATCAAAGACCAGAGTGTTTGGTATGGGTTGCACCTCAATGTAAAGAAAAACAAATCCTCACCACTGGAGTAATAAACAACATCATGATAAATGGAGGAAAGACTGAAGTTGTCAAAGCATTCATTTTGCTTGGAACCACTATCAACATTCATGGAAGCAACAGTCAAGAAATTAAACAACATATATTGTATTAGACAGTCGGTTGCATAAGACCTCTTTAAAGTGTTCAAGAGCAAAGATGTCGGTTTGAGGAGTAAGGTGCGCCTGACCCTTAGTATTTCCGTTCTCCTCTTATGCATGTGAAAGTAGGACAGTGAATAAGGAGACCCATAGAAGAATTGATACATTTGAATTATGGTGTTGGAGAAGAATGTTAAAAGTTTCATGGGCTGCCCGAAGAACAAACATTTGTATTGAAAGAATGTTTTTCAGAAGCTAGAATGGCGAGACTTAGTCTTTCATACATTGGGTACAGTCCCTGGAGAAGGATACCATGCTTGGCAAAGTGGAGGGTCAGCAAAAAAGTCTGAGACTTTTTTCTAACATGATGGATTGATACAGTGGCAGCAGCAAAGGGCTCAAGCGTAACAATGATTGTAAAGTTGGCACAAGACTGGTCAGTATTTTGTTCTGATGTGCAAAAGGTTGTTATGAGTCAGAACCAACTCAACAGCACCTAGCAGTAACAAACAACAACATCCCTTTACTGGGACTTAATTTTCCTTTGTTTTTGTAATATAATATAAGCCTGGTATCTTAGGCCAGGTTTTCTAGAGAAACAAAACTAGTGGCACACACATATATATATATACATAGAAAGAGAGAGACAGACAGACAGAGAAATTTATAATCAAGGAACTGACTTATAATTGCAGAGTATTAGGTCCACAGGAGAAGAGAGGGAACCTAGCCCCTTCAGTGTGTCCACTATATTGAGAGCAGGCCACACCCCGAAGGAAGCATCCCTTCAATCGATTGGCTACTCATAGCCACTCATCATAAAGTTAACTATGCCTATATAAGGTCTCATCACATGAGGATAAGCACATCTCAACTGCTAAAACTTTGGACATCCTGGCCTAGTCAAGTTGACACAGAACCCCAATAACAAAGGTCACCTTTGTCAACTTGAAATCTATAAACTATATGCATAAGCTCTAAATAAAGAAAATTGTGAAGTCATATTTGCACCTAACAGGATACAATTGAAACACAACTGAAAATGCAATGGCCCCATTTTACATCTCATGTTTCACAAATGAACAGTACGAAAAAATTTGATACACACATGCAAAACAAGACAAAACAAAAATATATGTGTTCTATCTAGGTATAGCAATGAAGTTGAGCAATCAAAAACAGTTAAACGGTTTTCAGCTTTTCTCAAGTTAGTTGTAGAATGTATTTAAGCAGTAAGCATATTTAGGTTAAACCAGTTCAATTATGTTAAATGTTGCTCTTATACCATATTATATTGAACACTGAATGCATGTTGAAAGACATGCCATTTTTTGTAAAACTCAAATATACGAGCTGTGTCTACAATTAAAAGAGAAACAGTTGGCATGTTTGTTAATTCTAGTTTCATTTAATAACCTGTAAGGCATGTAAGTTTAAGCTTTTTTTAAGTTAACTGGGAAAAATGAGATGCAATACCAGCACTTTAGGATTTTGGTCTTGATGTTTGTATGAAATTCTGAGGCCTTGATTTAAATCTCTCATTGTATTGTGATTTCCTTTTAGGTGTATTGAGCTAAGTGAAACTTGTCAAATAAATTTTTAAAAACTGAAGGAAAAAAAAAAAAATTCATTCTGCAAGTCAGCCTCCTACCCGTAGGCACACAACTGTACTCAGTCCACCTTCTCTGGTGTCACTGCTTTTCCAGGCAGGGATTCCATGCTCCACTCAGCGATCTTCTTTAATGATCACCTGGGATCACCTGTTCCTTAAATGAAAGATAACTGCTCCCCACTTTTAGTTACACATCTTCTAAACTTATAGTTTTGACAATCACAATTAATCCTACTAACAGTTTCTCACAACTGAAATTATACAATCCTATCAGCATCCTCCCCTATCTCCTTTCTCCAGAGCCATCTGGAAAGGAGGAAAACTAGTGAATGAGTTTCTAAAACTAAGCACACCCATGACAGCTTGTTAGCTCAGGAATCCATCTAAAGCTGTATACTTTTCAAAGGCTGAAAACAAAAAGCCTGTTTTTTCTGAACAAATTCTAACTTCCCTTTTAGCAAATCCAATAAAGTATAAGCTGAGGGCAGGTTTACACACTCACTGTAATCATAATTTCCATTATTCCTATCACATATGTATGTGTGTTTTACAATAATAGGCAGGAGAAACCAATATCCATAAGGCAGTCCAACACATAAACCTTTAAAAACATGTAAATTCAATCTTTTCTCCCTTTTCTATGCATATGGCCTTGGGCCTCTGGCAGGGTGGATCCAGTACGCTTAGGCCCTGTATCAGCCATCTGGCTTAACCAGTGTGTAGTCAGCTCCAGGCAACTCCAGAAACTGCCACTTTCCCCTTTGCTGAAATATTTTATCTCATAACCCTTCATTCTTTGTCTTACAAAGCCTCATAATTTCATGGTCCGGAACCACTGCATTGAATCCTGCTCACAGCACCAACTGCTTAAACCAAGCAAGGCCCATGTCAGTCTTCCTCTGACTCCACAAGAGGGAAAGAGAACCAAACTCAAAATCAGCTCAAGGCCCATTCCTATGGAGTAGAGGTCACCCTATATCAGTGCCTTTAAAATTAGTCAGACTTGAGAACCAGTTTAGAAAACTCAATCCTCCTGGTTTTGTTTCTCTAGAATCTTATTCTCTTGGTACCATATGTCTTAGGCCAGATTTTCTGGAGAAGCAAAACCAGTGAAACATGTATCTGTGTATATATATAGTGAAAAGTTTATTATCAAGAAAATGGTTTACAATTGCAGAGCCCCAGGTCCCCAACAGAAGAGAATGAGTCCCTCCCATGTGTCCATTATATTGGGAGCAGGCCACACCTCAAAAGAAGCATCCCTTCAATTGATTGGTTACTCATAGCCACTCATCATAGAGTTAACTATGCCTGTATTAGCTCTCATCACCATGGGAATAAGCACATCCCAGCTGCTAAACTTCTGGACCTCCTGACCTAGTCCAGTTGACAGCAAACCCTAACATTACACCATGTGTCCACAGTAAGAACAAAAGATAGAATTATAATATAGTTTGGATATTAGAAACAAAACATATAGTTTCACTGGATGAAAAAAATCTGGGTAATGTAGTTTATGCCTTTGTTTTCCATATGAATGATTACTCTTTTCCTTTTAAAATATAACCTGGTTAGAGGGGAAAGGTGTATCAAATACTATATTTCTATTGTAAATTTCAAACAGTAGAAAAATGTATAAAGAAGCAAGTTAATTTTTTAAAGTGTATAAATTGAAACAAAATAGCAAACAATTCACCAATATCAGAAAATATTGATTAAGATCATAGAAAAGGCCTTTAGATTGCTTGGGGTGTTCCCCCTCTCCGTTAGACAAGTTGTGTGAGGATGATCAACTGTCAGGGACTCTTAATTGTCACCAATTCTGTGGGGGGAAATTCCTGTGCATTCATTCACAACTGCCGTGCCCCCACAACTGAGGGTTTCTTTCACCCCGTTGCAGATTTGCTCCGGATGTTCTTTGATTGCCTGTATGACGAAGAGGTGATTTCTGAGGATGCCTTCTACAAGTGGGAGAGCAGCAAGGACCCCGCAGAGCAGAACGGGAAGGGTGTGGCCCTGAAGTCTGTCACAGCTTTCTTCACGTGGCTGCGGGAGGCCGAAGAGGAGTCTGAGGATAACTGAAACTTCAAATACACAAAATCAAACAAAAGAAACAATTTAAGTATTTTTTTAAAAAGTTTCACGTCTTCGCCAATCACAGTGCAGCAAGGCCAATTCTCGCAGAACCCCACATGCGCACGAGTGGGAGAGGGCAAGAGAAAGCGAGGGGATCATGGAGGAAAAGGTACTGGAGACCGCCAGCTCCAAGCAGGAGGGCGGGAGCACTAAACCAAAATACACGTGTCATTTCTAGAAGAGAGTTTCTGTTTTAATCTTTTCTTTTTAAACAAGGACTCATACTTTAAAGAAACACATCTGTTCAGAAAAAAAAAAAAAAAAAAAAAAAAAAAAAAAAAAAAAAAATTGAGAACTTTTAATTTATTTTAAGGACTGCAAATTCCAGTGTAATTTTTTTAATTTGCAGTTTCTGTAAACAACTTGTATAATAGAAAAGCAGAGAAATAAATTTCCCTCCCCTCAGATGCACCTCACGTTTGTTTTAAAAGCATAGTAGTTAGTCCAGATTTAAGAAGGTTTGGGGTGACCAAGGTAAGAATGGATTTTTGGGGGGGTTTTTTGGTATCAAATCTTTCTGCCTGCCTCTCAGCTTGCTTCAGAAAATAAAATCACAATAGTTATCAAAACATGCATAACCTTGGAACAGAAGGAAAACAATTTGTGAAAATGCTGTGGACCAGAGACCTCCAAGAATTGTTTAAAAAAAGTGCTACCCTGGGAAAAGTACTCTTAATACTTTTGGAACCTTTAGAGCAACTTTAAGGCCTGTAAATACATAGAACAAATATTTAAAAAAAGAAAAACAAACAAAAAGAAATTGACTCAATACTATTTCTTTTCACTTTCAAAATATAAAGAACAAAATAAAGACAAACATTGCAAGTTTAAAAGAAAGTAAAATGACTTCTCCTTTTGACAGCTGCCGCATGTGCACCCGTCTGCGAAAGGTGCTTTCTGATTACTCATTGTGTAGTCCGAGTCTCTAGACTCAAGTGGAGGGATGGGGTGTGTGTCTGTGTGTGTTTGTGTGTGTGCATCTGTCTGTTTACGGTTGGGAAAGACAAGCTGCTTCGTGGTTAAGGAGGGCAGTCATGCTTGGGTGGGAGAATCTCTTTCTAACACCACTAAGAAATGGATTCAGGTTGGGTGCAAACCTAAGGGCATGCTTTTAAATAAATGTTCCACTGTTACAGTGGAACTGTAACAAAGGGGACACTATTTTACTCAAAGACTTCAAAAACAAAAGCCTGATATTCCTTCTCTGCCCACAAGCCACTATCACTAATTAAAAAAAAGGTTTAAATGTCATTGTGACCTGAGAGCAGGTGGTCAGTTTGTATCCAGTGATTCATACACTGTCTCATCACAATGACTGCCGTCCCCTCCAGGGAACAGCAGCTAGCCCACTCCCTCCCTGTGACGAGTCCCATTCCACCCTCCTTCCCAGCCCTTTTGAATTTTGTCCTTAGATAAATGTTGCTCTTTTGATCTTGAATGGTTGGCCATTCCATGGTAGTGGTTGGTGGTTATGTGCTGTGGAGTCGGTTCCGACTCATAGAGAGCCTGTACAGGGTTTCCGAACCTCTAAGTCTTTGCGGGAGCAGAAATCCTCATCTTTCTCCCACGGAACAGCTGGTAGTTTCCAACTGCTGACGTTGTGGTTCACAGCCTAATTCGTAACCACTACGCTACCAGAGCACCTTATTCCATGGTAAGTATACCTTACTAACTTTGTTTTCCCCTATGTACCTATTTACCACTTGGTTAAAACTGGGTCACGAGGGTTTGTTCTGACCTGAAGGGGTGGCCAAGGGCCATCGTCTCAGGTTCCTCCAGTAAGCATAGCCTCTTACTGGCCAGAAAGTCTAGTCTTTTTTATTATAATTTTGAGTTTTCTTTGTTTCTCACACTCTATCCTGGCCCTTCTAATGTGATCCCTTTCAGAGCAGTTGATACTGGTAGCCAGGCGCCATCTAGTTCTTCTGGTCTCAGAGTCAAGAAGACTGGTATTCACATTTCAATTATTTTTTTCAATATTTCATCAATTGTCAACAATGGTTAAGAAACCCAAAGATGTCTTTTAGAGGATGAAAGAAACTAAAGTTGTTTGGCATATAGGTGCTGTTGAGTTAGTTCCTACTCATAGTGACTCCATGTACAACAGAATAAAACATTGCTCAATCCTGTGCCATCCTCACAATCTTTCAAAAAGTTGGGTGGGATTTAAAACTAAACCAATGCCATGGATGAAAGTCACATTGTTCCCACAACCTAAAGTCATTCTGGTGAGTATAAAGCCAGATGTGTTTGGGCACCTCTGCTTCTCCCATAGATATTAGAGTGCTGTGGGGGTTTCAGTGTTTTTGTTTTTTATTCTCCCTCCTTTTATTAAGTTGCAGTTTCTACAGATGGATTTCCCTTACAATTTTTTGTGGACTACCACCCTAACATTATATATGAAGAAATCCAGGAGATTCTTCCCAAATAACAAATAGTCTTTATATTTTGTATCAGTGTAACCAAAGATTTCTTCTGGCTTTCCTTTCTGAAGAAAACATTCACATTTAGAGACTTGGAAAAACTTAGCACAGAATAAAATTTTTCATAGCAATAAATTTTGTTTCTGCAGAGTATGGTTGAACACAGTGCATAGATCAGCTGCATGAACGAGCCCACAGAGCACAGGCCACAGTCATGGACAAGCAAATTCGGAAAGTCTGTGACAGGCATGTGACTGCATGGTCCATAGAAGATGGGGACTGAAAATCTGTGTAGGGGTCTGGCTACAGGCTCTGCCTAGGACCCCTCAGTTGGAGGGGACAACCTGTTTCTATGATAAAACAAGTTGTAACAGTCTCTAGGAGCAAAGTGCTGAGGATTGTAACCTGGAATTCTCCTTTAGCTGATGTAGGAAAGCATTGTACAGTATTGGCAGCACTCGGGTGAGGGACCAATGTGTTGGAGGAGGCAGAAGGTTGCAGAAAGGTATTTCAGGTGTGAGGATTATCCCGCTCATTGGTATTTTAAATAGGGACAAGTGTAAGGAATGGAAGGGAGGGGGGGAGAAATACCATTTTTGGGGAAAAAAGGTAAATTATTGAAAAACCTTTGCTTATACACATTTGTAGTACAATAGCACAAATAATATTTGAAATCTCATCAGAAGCATGAAGTGTGATAAAAAAGATTATGAAGAAATCATTGGGTATCTTGTTGCTTTATACGAGGGAGCATCAAAAATTTCGTGGAAAAATGGAATTAGACTGTTAGCTAATGAAAAAATAAGGATCCCTGGTGGTGCTGTGGGCTAGTCATTGGTCTGCTAACCATAAAGTTGGGTTCAAATCCACTATCTATTCTGCGAGAGAAAGAAGAGTCTGGCTGTTCCTGTCAAGATCTACAGTCATGGGTCCTATAGGAGTTGCTAGGAGTCAGAATCGACTCGATGGCCGTGGGGTTGGTTTTTGGGTTTCAGTATCAACTGCGGGTCCCCGGGTGGTGACCACATTTGGTGGCTAACCAAAAGGCTGAAGGTTTGAATACACCCAGAGTTGTCTTAGAAGAAAGGCTTGGCAGTCTGTCTGGGAAAACTCAGCCCTTGAGAACCCTGTGGCACACAGTTTTACTCCGACACCATGAGCTGGAATCAGTTTGACAGCAATTGGTTTTAATATCATATGAACTGCAAGAAATTTTCATAGTTCTTGCCATCTTCATAGTCTTCTTACTGGATACGATGGTTTGGGTACTTTTATCTTAAAGTAACAGCTCTAGCACAAGCTGTCCCACCCACTTGAACAAACTGACTTGGGAACAGGGACACTGTCACTTTTAATCTGTTAGTTCATGCTTAATATTCAAACCAACTGGAGCTGCTCCATAAGTTCAATAAAAGTTCCATTTCATAATGCCAATTTCCAAAATAAACTCATTTTAGATTCTTGCGTAGACCAACAAGTTAATTCACAGCTCCATGGTGAATGTGCTTCGTCATTCAATAAATAATTTACGAGCATGTACTGCGTATGAGGAGTGTAATGGTGGACACAGGTCACTTTGATGGAGTGTCCTGCCCCACTCTTAGCCCTGTCTGCCCCTCTGTATCCAAGCAGATCTTTGACTTAGTTTTTATTCTGTCCTTAATATTTCTAAATACATTCCATATTGTTTGCAGCAAGTAACCCCAAAACCATTGTATCTCTTGATCTACTCTTCAAACAAGTTGTCATTTTGGGTTTTTTGACATAGTATCTCTTTGTTTCAAATGCTTTCTTTCATTCAATCAAAAATATTCTCAGCTTAAAAAAGCAACAACAACAAAAACAACATTGGATATGGTTCTTGTGTTTTCATTACTCAAGTTTTGTTCTTTAATTGGGATTCAGTGTTTCAAGACTGACATGTCAATGTTCCCCATTTTGTAGAAAGTGATATTTTGCATTGTTTTCTCTTTGCTTATGTTTGCTTTTGTTTCTGAGATACAATTTGCATAGCATAAGACACGCCTTTTTAGAGTATACAATTCCATGTTTTTTTGTATATCAGAAATGTATAACCATCATGTGACTTAAGAACATTTTCATCACCTCACAAAGAAACTCCTTGCCCAGTTGCTGCCACATTCCATTCTCTACTTTTCCCCAGACCATGGCAACTAATCTACTTTTTGTCTCTACAGGCATGTCATCTGTAAATGGAATTATACATTGCTTATTCTGGGCATGTCATATTCTGGACATATCATATGTATGTTGAATTACACATTGCCTTTTGTTTTGGCCTCTACTCCAAATTTAGCAAATGATCTCACTTCGTAGGGTTTGGGTACAACATCAGAGAAAACAAGGTTTAGGTCCCTGATGTTGGCTTTGTCTTTACCTTTTTATTCCTTAAGTGTAACTTCTATTGATATACCTGATAATATGTGTACAACCATCAGCTAATTCAAAACAAGTTCCCAAGAATTTACTTGTAATCACTCCGCTGATTTGACGTGTATGACC